AAAGGAGCTAGAAAGATGAAAATAACCACAGCCTTGACTCAGAATACTTTGGCTTGAGGCAGGCTCCCTGAGCAGCCTGATACCAAAAGCTGTCAACCTGAGACTTTTGTATGGAGACTCATGGAGTTAAATTACCACTGGACGTGAAATGACAAAATGTTGGAATTGATGAAATTATATATGGCAATGGAAATAGAGCCTTATATGTCTCAACATGCATGCAATGTATTTGATTTTCCCAGTGAATTATGGGCCTTGGGACAAAAGAAAAAAAGTTAAGAAGAGGAAAGGTAGAAGGATGCTAAACTGAGATACTTCTAGGTACCACCTGGGCTCTGGGGCTGGCATGTTACATAAAGCCCTCTCCTGACACTCATGAATTGTGTCACTGTCACCATTTTACACATGAAGAAATGGAATCATAGAGTTTAAAAAAACTGGATCGAGATAACATTGCTAACTACTCAAGACTGGCCAACACACAACTATGTTTGTTTCAGTATGTCTTACTCCACTCTGGGTGAGGGGGAAAGTAAAACTTGTTTTGTCCCCTGTGAAAAAGAATATACAGTTAGTTAATTTTTGAGGGACAAGACACAGAAATGCATTAGCCTCATTTAATGTTCTTGTTAAGGTTTAGAAAGAATAAGAATCTAAACTAACATTTGACAGTATTCAAGGGCTCTGCACTGCCTCAGAGAAAGGAACCCCCAGCATTATGTAGAATAAAATACACAAGCCTGGTAAGAAGTGACATTTAGCAGATATTTATATAATTTATGAAGGACGGTTACGTGGAAACCTGCCACAGGTCGCATTCAGGATTTCTGCTCCTGTATTGTTACAAGGTTTTACTGTCAATAAGATTCAGAGAATTTACCTTAAAAGGTGACATAATGACTCAGACACAATAAGCAATGCGCCTCAACCAGGTGATTTGGCTTCACCAAAATCATTACAAGAGTTTTTGAATCACTTGGTTTACTTTTTGCCTCTAATTTTATATCTTATACATGTAAAATATAAGATTCTGGACCCCTTAAAATATTTTTAAGCATTTTGTACAGCAGACTTGTGTTTCGCGGTTGAAGCAAGGGAGACAACATATGTAGTAAGAAGTGACATGACACACAGGTCTTTTAATTTGTGTTAAAAAAATAAAGTGCATCCCAATGTAGTGTGGCAGGCAAAATAAGAAGTTACAAACCTGACTTTGACATAATTCTGGGAAAATGACTTTTCCCTCTAACTAAATTCTTCCTTTCATCATGAAAATTTTATTTTAACTATCTTGGATAGTTTCTGTTTATAAATACATTTAAAAATATTTTAAATATTATCTTTTTCCCCTGTAATATATTAACAATAACTTATGAGTCAGAGTCTTAATTATGCACTATGATATTGTGTTAATTGCAAAAAAGCTGGCTATTATGAGCAGTGTGCCCCAGCAAAAAATGTCCCCAGATGCTGTGTGTGTTGCATTGTATCTACTCTTTATAGTTTATGCTTCGTTTCTCCCCACCTTTACCTTACCAATTGTGGCTTCTTACTGAGCCCTCAACAATATGTCTGAATTCTCAGTGTCTGGTTTAGACCAAGAAAGGAGATAATAAGGGTGCCACAGAAGTTTAAAATACGATGTTCAGAGAGAGGGATTATCCTTTGAGTGACATGAGTGAGGGTTAGTGCCTGGACTTTCTGACCTTTGTTTTCACTGGTTTGGAATCTTCATTTCCAGCAGTGTCACTTTATACCTAAACATTTTGAAATTTACTTCTTTAACTATAATTATACTTCTTACAGTTCTATAAACCAGTGAATTACATATATTTTAGAATTATGGAAAGCATGAATTTTTAGAAATTGATTCACCTGTAGCTACTTCTTGCCTCTGTTCTTCAGAAATAATATGCATATGCCCTTTCTCTGTCCTATAACTTTCTTCTGCTATAAAAAGACACTCTTGTATTTAATAATTATTAACGGACTACAGCCCATATTGTTTTCTTATTAAATAGATAGGTCAGAGGTGCTACATCTTATCTTTCTTTCTTTAAATTTATTTATCTTTATTTTTGGCTGCGATGGCTCTTCGTTGCTGCTCGTGGGCTCTTCTCTAGTTGCAGCGAGCAGGGGCTACTCTTCCTTGCGGTGCACGGGCTTCTCATTGCGGTGGCTTCTCTTGTTGCGTAGCACAGGCTCTAGAGCACAGGCTCAGCAGTTGTGGCACACGGGCTTAGTTGTTCCATGGCATGTGGGATCTTCCCGGACCAGGGCTCCAACCTGTGTCCCCTGCATTGGCAGGCGGATTGCTAACCCCTGACCCACGAGGGAAGCCCTTATTTTTCTTTCTTGATCTGGGGCTTAGAAAGTAAGTCCTTATATATTTCTTCTCCGTATTGTAACTAATAAGGGAAATGGAGTCCTTTCCCTTTCCCACTAATGTTTCATTTAACTGTTCTGTTTTTTTCCTCATATTAAAGGCTTATGAAATAGAATCAGTGCTAAGAAACCAATTCAGGTGCATGTGAAAGTCTGTGACCCCTGTGCTCATTCACTGCTCACAGCAGCCCCCCTCATTTTACAAATAAGGAAACTGAGGCACGTAGGGGTGCTAATGACTTTAGTTAGTAGCACAACTGAACTTAAACCCAGGTAGTCTGGCTCCAAAGTTCTTATCTTACAAAAATGATCTGCAATTCAGATAAAAAGCACCAAGCCAACAATGGGTGCTTAGGCTTGTCTGAGTAGACTCAAAATTAGGTTTCTCTGTGTAAGTAAACCAAAGAAGAGGAAACATAGTTACTTTTTATTTTTAAAATATCAACTTATTAAGTGTTAATACTTAATATGCAGTAAACATTCGTAACACTTGGGGCAAGATTTAGAGAAATACAAGCACTTTTGCTACAACTTGGCACTTTCCCTGCCTAATGACAAACAACTATGAACAAACACAGTGTAATCCAACTTGATCTATGCAGGGTATAGGCTGTCAATATTTATTAAGCATAAGAATGTCTCCTCATAGCAGAAAAAAAGTTACAGGATAGAGAAAGGGCTCTACTTTTCAAGAACAGAGGCAAGAATTAGCTACAGAGTGATCAGAATTTAAAAAGAAAACAGAAACAAAATTCATACTATCCACATTTCTAAAATATCACTAACTCATTGGTTATAAGCACCAGGTAGAACCTCATCCTGAGATCTTTTTCTCTTAGCGTCAGATCAACTTGTTGCAGACCCAAAGTTCTAACTTTACATTGAGGATCCACAGCAGTTTTTTTTTTTTTTTTTTTTTTTTTTTTTAGACCAGAAAAAAAGGTAGGTGCTGCCAGGTTGTGAAGGGCTTTTTGTTTGTTTGTTTGTTTTGTTTTGTTTTGTTTTTTGCTGTATGCAGGCCTCTCACTGTTGTGGCCTCTCCCGTTGCGGAGCACAGGCTCCGGACGCGCAGGCTCAGCGGCCATGGCTCATGGGCCCAGCTGCTCCGCGGCATGTGGGATCTTCCCAGACCAGGGCACGAACCCGTGTCCCCTGCATCGGCAGGCGGACTCTCAACCACTGCGCCACCTGGGAAGCCCTCCACAGCAGTTTTGACATTGAATATGCTTGTCTGTACTTTCAGCTGTTTCCTTGCTTGCTTGTTTGTTTGTTTCTCTCGTAAAACCTAACTTGAGTCACCTGCTTACTAACTCTGACTAATTTGCAATTTGGCTAATGACTAACTTGCAATTCTAACTTCCAACTTCTTTTGAAAGCATACAGGAGTAGTAATAATAATATTAAATTACAGAAAACCACTGCTATACTTTGTTGACATCTGCTGCCTATGACTATGAATGAAAGCTCCACTGGGTACAGATGGTATATCATGTTCATTGCTGTCTGTCCAGCACACACAGTGCAGTATTGAGCACGTACCATGTGCTCAGTAAGCACTTCTTGAGTGAATGAATGAATGCATGAATGGTTTCTGTTCAGGTGTTTCTCAGCTGGATCCCTTTTGTCTACCCTGAGTTGATAATTGGAGGGAGACTACATCCTGCTGTTGAATAACTTCATTTTGTAAAATCACCTAACATAATAACTGGCTTATATTAGGTTATTATTGGCTTAATAATCTTAATAATCTATGAATAACTACCCCAAAAGGCTGATAGGAAGAGGATATTGATAACTAGCCCGTGACCCCATGACAAATAAGAAGGATGAATAAGAGTTTATTAGGGAAATTAAATCTAAAAAGAACATTCCAGACTGAGCTTGGCTATGTCCAAGGCTGGCCGAGCTGAAGACTATAACCTTATCTTCAGTAGCAACACATCTCCACAACTCAGAAAACTGGCCACAGACCAGTTCATAACTTAAGGTCATGTGCAAGGGATGTGTAAAATTGAGGGGTGCAGAGTAATGATGCAATTATCCTAACACAAATCTTTTAAATTAACATTTGCTATTAGTTGGATGTTAGGTATTAAAAAATGTTAACAATTAAACTGGAATCTCTGCTTCTTCAGTAGGGTTAAAGTATTAACAAGATGTGGAATGGATTGAAGAGGGAACAGTCATTGTACTCCTAATATTAGCAAAGCAGGAAAGAAATCTCCTCTTGTACACAGTATTTTTAAAAGCTTCCAAGAGAAAACCAAACCCAGGTCCCTCTTTCATAGTATTGACACTGAATAGTGCAGAATCTGAAATGTTTCCTTTAAAAATGATTATTGAATTTTTAAAAAATTTATCAAAATAAATGTGATTAAGCATATTTGCTGAAGTACAAATCAAGCCGTGCTTTTCATTTAGAGCAATGAGAAAATTCAAATAACAAAAGAGCACAATTTCAAATGTTCTACCAGTTCATATACTTTTATGCTATAGCAGTGATTTGTATTTTGCTCTTTCAATGTCATGCAAAACGGTTAAAGAAAAAAATATAGAGTATTTACACAGTTCATTATCATCTGTCCTCTCTTACTTTTTCTTTTCTTTTCTTTCAGTTCCACCTTTTATCCAACCTTTTGAGTTTCCAAGATTCTCCATTGGACAGCGGGTCTTCATCCCGTGTGTTGTGGTCTCAGGGGACCTACCCATCACCATCACCTGGCAGAAGGACGGCCGGCCAATCCCAGCGAGCCTTGGGGTGACCATTGACAACATTGACTTCACAAGCTCCTTAAGGATTTCCAACCTCTCCCTGATGCACAATGGGAATTACACCTGCATAGCCCGCAATGAGGCAGCAGCTGTGGAGCACCAAAGCCAACTAATTGTGAGAGGTGAGGAGACACTTAGGATGCATGGCACCTATGCAGTCAGATTCAATAGCACTCACCAATGGTGTTTCCTTGAAATGTTATGAAAATAACCAGCATTCATAAGAATTCCCTGTCATCACATTCACACACACACACACACACACACACACACACACACACACACACACACACACACACAGCTGTAGAAGCCAACTATGAACTCCCCTAAACTCCAGGCCAAGGTGTATTTACCTAAAATGTGAAGTTTCAGAAAATTAGCAGAGAAGAAATGTGTAAATAAGATGTGGGGACCATGGGATTTAATTCTTGAAATAAGGCTTCCCTGCATTAACCCAGTGACTTGTGAGGCCCAAAATCCATGAGCTCATGCTGTGTTATATTTACTTTATATAGCACTTTTTATATTATCATCTAGATTGATGGCTTTTAAAAATAATATTTGCCAAAGCCATATCTCACAGTTTTTCTGAAGTCAAAAAATAGTAGCTTTTTATATTTTTTTATCTTAGTTTTAGAAATGTGGTTTTCTTTGTTCCTCCCTTCTGTTGAGCATTAAATGTCTATCTTGGAAGGCTATTGAAACATTTACTAAATTAAACAAAGTGTGGCAATATTTATGAAAAAATTAAAATAAGATGGTTTAACTTGCAGAAAACTTTACCAGGGCTCTCAATGCACCTATAATGTAAGCAACAGTCTTATTTCAAATCTCTTTGCAAGTCAGCAAATTCCCATCAAGGTTCACACTTGCCATCTTCAAAATGAGAAGCTAGTGTTCTCCAGTGTCTGTTGAGCATGGATGTTCTGTGATTTTACGGTTCTCCTAGAGTTGTAGGTGTTCATCTACCAGTAGAATATTCATCCACATTGCAAAAGTAACTGTATGAAATTAAAGATTTATATTAATGTTGATTGTTTGCATTTTAAAGTCCTCGAACACAGGGCTCTCACTGTAATTGTCAGGAGGAGATGATTTCCATTACCTGCAGGACAGTCAGTAGATGTAAGCCGACTCTTTCTTGAGCAATAGGTTCCCATGTCCTTCCTCAGTCCTTACAACTTGTCCACATGACCCCTCTCCTTCCTTTCTTGTTGAAGAGTAATGCTCATTCTGTCTACTTGCCAACAAAATAAAGTGGAGCATACTTAGAATTCATATGAAGGCACCAACTTTGTATCTGTGAGAAAGATTTTCGCTGAGTAAGCAAATCTACCTTCAGTTAGATACAAAACAAAGGTACAAATGGCCTTATGCTAATAAAATTGGGATACGTGAAAAGCTTTTTCCCATTTTTGAAGATGCATAAAAATGGGAGCCCATCTAGTCCACTACTTCCCAAGTGTTTTCTTATAAGGAGAACTGACTCTTCCTATCATTTGTGAAGGGCAAAGCAGTGAGTACATTAGCCTGTCTCCGATATAATCTGCTCTGAAGGATCCAGGTCAGAGAACAGAAATGCTACATAAAAATGTATGTGAGTGTTCTGTGAATCACTTGACTTCGCAGGAAATGCAACCAGACTTTTTTGACCAAGGCAAAGGTCAGATGGCCTGGAATTGAGCCTAGCCAATCAGGATAATGTAGCGGATCACAATCTGATTAGTATCTCCCTGTGGTTGTTTTTTAAATGTATTAAATAAGGTTCTGTGAAATTAACATTAAGTCACTAGTTAGGTGATATAGCTCGGAGAAAGGAAATGTGCTTCACAAGCAGGTCAGTAGCTGGAGAAATAGTCAAGGAGAAGGTAATGTGCGGGGGCAGTGGTTCACAATCCAGGCTTCACCATAAAATCTCCTGGGAGATTTAAGAAAACACTGATGACCATTTTCTGGTCCTAACTAAGCCCAGCTAAATCATTATCTTTGGGAGTAGATCCATCTCCCAGATCTCTGGGGCATTATCCTTTTTTTTTTTTTTTTTTTTCAATTTAAAATTCCCCGTTAGTGGTTCTTGAAGCTAAATCATTATCTTTGGGAGTAGATCCATCTCCCAGATCTCTGGGGCATTATCCTTTTTTTTTTTTTTTTTTTTCAATTCAAAATCACCTGTTAGTGGTTCTTGAATTTTGTCACACATTAAAATTATGCGGGGAGCTTTAAAAAATTCATGATGTCCAGGTTGAAGTCCAATTAAATAACCATCATTGGGGGTGGGACCCAGGCACCAGGAATTTGTAAATTCCCTGAGTTGATTCTAATATGCAGCCAAGATTAAGTCCAAGCACCCTGGGTAATTTGAATATGCAGCTATTTTAGAAGCCTGGAGTTTTTTTCTAAATGCAAAGAGGGGCCATTGGTGACTTTAACTAGGCTAGTGTCATGGCCTGATTTATGTTTTTAATCATAACACTAGCAGCTGTGGAAAGAATGGATTGGTCCCGAAAGCAAGTAGGTAAGAAGCTATTTCAGAAGTCGAAGCAAGATAAAAAGCGCCTTGAGTCAAGGTGGTTACAGTCAAGGTAATGAGAAGCAGACAAATTTGAAATATGTTTTGGAGATGAATCAAAGAAAGCATGTATATATAGTGAATGTTGCAAAGAGAGAGAAAGAGGAATTGTTAAATGAAGTACATATTTTGCCTAATAAGGTAAATGAAAGTGTCTTCTACAGAAGTGGAGAAGACACAAGGAATAGCAGTTGTCACAAGGGAAAGAATGATGTGGGAGAAACAAGAAGGTCTAGACTCAAGGCATTCCAAAATTTAAGGTTCCAGAATAAGAGGAGGAATCAGCAAAGGAGACAAGAAGAAGGAGCAGTCAGTGAAACAGGAGGAAATCCAGTGGACTGTGGGGTCCTGAAAGCAAAATAGGAAATAATCAAGAAAGATAGGCGATAAAGTATATCAGATCCCACTGAAAGTGGAAAAAGAGGAGAATCACCAATTGCTCATTGGGTTTTAGGAAGATGGATATTGCTTGTTACCTTGTACAGTGGCGTGGCTGCAGTGAATCCCTGATTAGTGGGGCTTGAACAAAGAAAGGGAGATGAATGTGTGGGAACTCAGGAAAATACAACTATTTTTGTATTTTCAGGAATGTTGGTATGACAGGAGGCGAGGTGGACATGGGACAAGGGAAGCTTACATACTGATGGGAATGAGCCAATAGACAGGAAAAAAGTATGTGGCAGGATAAAGAGATAATTGCAGGATCCAAGTCCTTGACTTAGTTAATTGGGTCCTTTGAACCAGTGGAATATGTACAAACTAGTGTAATAATAATCTTGGTGGGGCTCCAGAAAGTAGAACCAACAGAAATGGTTGGAAATTTCAGTGAGACAGATTTTGAGTCAAGTAACTTAAAAGATAAATATGAAATTCATCAAATGGGGTCATCAGAGAGTAACATGCAGTGGATTTATCCTCCTACCATCAACAGTTATAAAACTGGACAAAACTTTATAAAGTAACCATTTTCCAAATACGAAACAGGCAGCACAGGGCTGTGGTCCTAGAGAGGAGAGAAATATATGAGTTAAGCCCCAAGTTCACCCCATATTTTTTCTCGGTGCACTTTCCAAACCATGATAGATGGATGCAGAGCCCAAATAGATAATGGTGATTTTTATGGTGAAGAAAAACAAAGAACCATTAGAACCATTGAGGTGCTGGATATTGCAGGTCAGAGTACTAGAGAGTGGGGAGCTGTTCAAAGAAAGATTTCTAAAAATCTGTATAGGGCTCCCTTTGAATCTTTAGCTTAATACTACACTTCACATGCATAGGGCAAGACCCTATGAAATCTAGCAGAGAACAACTTCCAGGAGTATGTGAGATGAATAAAGCTTCCAGCAGTCACACAGTCCTGAGAAACATTGGAGTTCTGATAAGCCAGAGTAGAGAACACACAGGGAATCCAGTTAAAATCTCAGAAGAGGCCACACACTAAGAGAGGCCTAATCTAGCCCTGGGATAAGGGCTACTCTAGACCAGCCCTAATAAAAAGCCTACAGGTAGCCTTGACAGGATTAAATTTCTTCACTGGTAAATTGACTGTTTGCAAGAATAGCATTCAGTGTTCTTAAAAGGAAGACAACAAAATCCAGACTCTCAATATCATAGCATATCTGCAATGCCTTGCACATAATTACTGGCTCTGAGAAGAAATAGGAAAATGTGAGCCATAAATAAAAGGAAAACAAAGAAAAGAAACAGCCTAATGGGCATACAGATGTTAAAATTAGCAGGCAGGGTTTTAAAGTAGCTATAATAAGCATTTTCAAAAATTCAAATGAAAAGATGTGTGCAATGAGTGAATATGTAGGGAATGCAAGAAGAGAAGTACAAAACGTTTTTAAAAAAGAACCAAAAGGAAATTCTAGATCTGAAAAGCACAATATCTGAAATGAGAAATTAACTAGATATATTAAGTGGGATCTTGGATACTGCAGAACAAAGGATAACTGAACTTGTAAAGAGGGCACGAGAAAAATATCCAAATTTTTTAGAGAGATAAAAGACTTAAAATGGCAAACAATGCCTCAGTGAGCTTGAAGTAATGTCAAGGAGTCCAATATAAATATAATTAGAGCCTCAGAAAGAAGGGCAGGAAAAGCATAGATCTGAATAGTAATGACTTGAAAATTTTCAAATGTGGTGAAAAATATAAATCTACTGGTCAAAATGATTAATGAGGCTCAAGTAAAATAAGCACAAAGAAAAAACCATGCCATAGCACATCATAGGGTGTAGATTTTACAGATTTTTGCATAATCTATCAAACTGTACATTTAAAACCTGTGAATATTACTGTATATAAATTACACCTCAATTTGTTAAAAATTTAAATGTAAATTTTCTAATATTCAAAATTCGTCAAAAATGAAATAATGAAATAATTTCCGTCACAATATATTAACTTTCCTGACAATGGAGGAGACATCATTTATCAAAAGCCGAATGACATTTTGAAAGGCATTGCATGAAATAGGTGTCACAGGTTAGTGGCTGGCCTCAATAAAGAGTAGTTTCCCTTCTGGCATTAAGGCTCAATGATTTAAA